ACTGAGCTACAGGACTCCACTTTCATTATGTACTTTCATTATTATGGAATTTCCACCAACGGGAAACTGGAACTGTTTGGGGTTTCTAACATGAACTGAGTTCAGCTGAGAGGGATGCCACTCAGCTTCTACAGGCAAAACCACAAAGAAAAACAATTTAACAGCACAATGTATCTTACATGGTCAGTGAAAACTAAACACATTAATTTTCTACTGGGCTGATAATTCATGGCTTGGAGTAAAATCCTGACTTTCATTGCACATCAAAAAGAAAGTCTTAGTACCCAATAGTCATTATGTTTTGGGTGTGATAGGCACTTTGCAATTCTAAACTCAGTTTCAGAATCACTGGCCATTGAATAGTGTGTTTCATGCTCAACAAACTTGTAACTTGAATAGAGAGAGAAAGCGGGAACATATTTGTACATCATTCTTTCTACTTATCTTTAACCCATAGAAATGTTCCTTGGAGATTTTACTATTTTGGTTCACAGATTTTGTGACTCAACATGCATTGTCTTTGGCTGAAAATAATGCACAGATAACTAACAATTGAAAATAAAATGCACAAACCTTTCAGACAGACTCTCCCTCAGAAAAACTCATGTTGAACAGTTTAGCAACAACATACTAGGGGATGGCATCGCTAAGTAAAAGAGCTTGTATCATATTCCTTTTAATAGAACAGGTTTTCAGCTTTAAACAATAAAATTATGTTTCATCATTCAACTTCAGCTAGACAATTCCAACAATATTATATGAGACATTTGACATTTTTCCACCATCCGTTTGCTGCTTTTGTTACTTAAGATTAGGTAAACAAACACTGCTTCAGCAATATGATATATTTATGCCTGTATTTGCAAAGCAAGTCACATATTGAGAGAGAGCAAGGATAGCAACAAAAGAAAAGCAACCATGCAGAGATTAATATATGGATAACAGGAGTCAATGCTAAAAGGCAAATGGCAGCATGAGCAAATGTCCTTTTGTATTTGTTTTTCATCAGAAAGATTACTTACCCAGAATGGAGAGTTCCTCACTATTCAAATGAGTTTCCACAAAGTACAGTAGGTTTAGTCTTAAGACAATACCTTAATCAGGAGAAACCATGCATTTGTCCCTGTAAGTATTTTATGTTAGCATGTTGCGAGAATGTGACTCCCTCCTCCTATATGTCTACACAAATAAAAATATATATATCTATATGTACACATTTGTGTGTGAAGAGTCTCTTATCATTTATTCCATCATTTTACAATCTGGTTGATAGGGCCTAAAGTGCAGTGTTTCCAAAATGAAATTTGCTGCATAATTGAATCCAGTGGCTTGCGACAGAAATGATCAGATTTGCAAACCCATTGTGATCCTGAATGCTGGCAAAGGAGTTTTTGTGGCTGGCTCTTTACTTTCTAACCTTTTTTTGGGGCTGTTCATGAAAAGACCAGAAAGCACTCATTATAATTCAAACTTAAAATGTACAAAGTGGTAGCCTCATGGTACCATTGCAAAGAAGTGCAGCTAAGACTTACTGCCTACCAAAAATATGTCAAAACTGAACAGGGATCTTCAAGATGGTAGGAACTAATGGGCAAAAGATGATAATCGGTAATATTGTTGTCAGTGAAAGAATATACCAACTACAACTTTCTATTAACTAAGCAAAACAGGTCAACTGTTTGGATTATGTCATTAAAATGCTTTCAAAGCTGCTGAGCAGATCTGTCTAGAGAAAATGGGGGAGACCAGGGACATGTTGAACAGAAAAATAACTAAAGGTGCAGAACAGATGGGAAATGAGTTGGAACATATCGAAAGGAACTGTGTTGTTTATAGAAGATATTTCTCTCCAGTGACCCAAAACAGTCTGTTAGTTAGGGAGGTGAGAAGAGTTTGCAAGAGAAAGAAATAGACAGGGAGACACATAATTCACTCAGAACAGGAAAGCTCTAGGCTGCATCAGTTTCTTTGTTGGATAAAACAGGCATTGAAAGCCTGAATTTCTCTATGGCTTTTAGTATTTCAAAGTTTCCAAAGCAAAGGCCAAAATTAGCAGCTGAGAAAAAGCCTCCTTCAGGCTCTTAAATGAAGGTTTGGCATTTTCTTGGAAGCAATGAAATATAGAGAGCTAAAGCTCAATAATTCATAGATGTAAGTTTCCTTACACTGCCAGAAAAAAACAAACCAAGGACATTAACTAGGGGATCAGATACAGATTCCTCATGGACTATCCCGGTTTCCAACACTAAACCATAAGATATATAAAGAAATACAATTTACTGTCTTTACTTCTGTGCTTGTACCCCTAGACCTACACCTAGACTTAACTATAATGAACTTGATGTTATCAAATTGTAAACAATAGGGTATATACCGTATGTGGAAAAACCCATTGAATCTCTAGTCTCTGTACAAAATTGCTTAAACTAGGTCAGGATTTGGTATTAATTTTTCTAATTAATACCAAATTAGGGTTAATTAGGGATCTAATTTTTCAGAAATTCAACAACTCATTCTCCAGAATTGAAACGTCTGTTGGTTTTAAGAACTTGAAATTTGGAATCCACTCTATCAGTTCAGAAAGAGCATGGCTGGTATAAGATTGTAGACTAGGGCAAACCACCCAATGTCTTTGGCAGTGAAAGTAGCATTCCTAGAACCAGAGTCCAAGCTAGTGTTAAATCCATTGCAATTGTTACTGACTGAGTTAAGCAGGGGATAATAGCAGAGCATAAGTTGAGTCTCTTAGCACTCTTAGTGGAGCTGGTGGATTGTGATCATTCATAACAGATTGTTAGGAGCAGTCGGTTATAACTGATGCAAAATTTAACACAGCTATTTCTGTGCTTTTCTGCTCCAACTCTTTTACATGGAATTTTTAGTGCTTTACCTTTATCTGTGGACTTACTGGGCACTAGCATTGCTAGCGATGCACTTGGTTTGATGTTTCAAGCTTCTATTGACACCAGCATCAAAGCCAATGTGTTGACAAAGCTTGTTTTGTCCTTTTGGCTTTGAACTGCTGCCAGAAAGCCTGTATTTTATCTTTGGACACCACAGATACACTGCACTGAGCAACTACCTATAGATGAGCAAGACACTGTTTTGGGGATTTTGGCAAGAGAACCCACAGCTAAATCCACCTAGTGTGAGAAAGGCTTTATTGGAACTTTGAGAAAGTTTATAATATAAATAATAATAATAGTAATCCTTGCATTTGGTATAGCGCTTTTCACATCTTCGAGATGTCTCAAAGCGCTTCACAGAATATACTGTAAAGTGAATTGACTGTATATTTGTGGGCGAATCGCGACAGCCAATTGCGCACCGCAGTGTCCCATAAACAGTCGTGGATTGAAGTGACCAATTGTATTATTATTTTTTTCTTGAGGGATTATTATCAGGGGTGTGGAGTAAGGAAACTTGCCCAAGGTTTTGCCCTGCCAGCATACCAACACATGTCTCTCGTTTGCGACACGAGTGCTCTAACCACTGAGCTACAGGACTCCTAAAATTTGAATCTGCTGCCCATGTCACACATAGGCTATTTCCTTTCAGTAACTCAAAAATCATTAGCTTTTATTGCGCCAGGAAACTGTTACACACTTTAACTCTTAAAAGACAGATGAAGTTTCAGTAGAGCAAACTGCAACTGATAAAACAGAGGAGGTTCTGTTTGTGGGATGGGCTGAACATAAACAGTGAGGGAAGTAAACCACACTGAACATCATAACATTTGAGCAGCTCCATGGTAGATTTCCAGAGCTGAGATACTAATCCTGTATGGAATGTTGGCTCGGGATTAAGCCCATGCTACGTGGAAAAGGCCTGAAATGCTTTTCTACAATGGTAGTGTCTTTGTAAAGATAACCCATGATTTGAGATTATTAGAAAATTTAAAAGATTTCATGCTCATTTGACATCATCCAGGTTCTAAACACTACATAGTCCTCAATAGGTGCTGCAATAAATTTCTTTAAATATTTTAGCAAATGTTGAATTTAGTGAATTTGAAAGGATCAAATCTGCTTTTTCCAGGGAAACTTGATTCTTAAAAGCATTTTTTGGGTGAAAACAAGTTGAAGCAATACAGTAATTGACAGACAATTGATTTGATAGTTTACTGAGCCGTCAACAAATGATTTTATATCCTGCATAACAAATGCATCTTAACTACTGCTCTGTATTGACAATGTTAAATTATTTCCTGAAGCTTAGATTGTAGTGTTCCTTTTTAAGAGATGCCATTATATATATATATATTTTTTTTTTTCTATAATGCGCCATTTGGAAACTAGTCAAACAATCGATTATAGAGAATTATATGGTTCATACGTAGTCATTTGAAAGAGACTAGCATAACATATGGGTAAGGTGTCTGGCATAAGATGCAGGCTTTGTGTACACATTCTTTATGGTTGTGTCTGTTTCAACACAACATATTGTTCAGTCGATGTTGAAAGCTAAATACTATAATATAATCTGCTGATGTTGCAAAATCTGTCTCTGCTGATTTAGAATGTTTAATATTTTCAGATTATTTTCTTCTAATTTACCAGAGAAGTTTCCTTCAAGGTTTACCTAAAAGGTTTAGCCTTTTTCCCATACTTACAGCACTTAATTTATAGATCAAAATGCTCCATCCCATTTTTATAAAATTACATTTATGCTCCTTTTTACATTCAATAACTTGAGGCTCCCTTGAAAAAATATATATACACATGCTATTAGTAAATCAGTAACAAAATAAATTGTGTTTTGTACTTCAATCCCTAACACTTTTAGATGGTCATTTTTTAGATACTGGATAATAGAAAGGACTTCTTATATCACAGACCTAGGATTGAAACACTAAAAGCTTCACTTTCTTTTGGCCACAAAAGGACATATATTCAATGCGAACTGAAAATGCATAGCAACGATTTAAAATCCCCTTAAAGGTTCTCTCATGCTAGACTAAGTGTCACAAATAGATTAGACGTGCTTTTTTCAAGTCCTACCAATAGTGCAATGCTCTCCGTTCCATCCAGGGCTGCATTCACACTTGCCATCCTTACAGGTTCCGTGCTCATTGCAGCGTGGGTGACATGCTCGCTGATCACAGCCACTGCCCATCCAGCCTTCGTCGCAGCGACAGGTGCCTCCAACGCAGATCCCGTGGCCACTACAGTCTACTGCACAAATCTCTGTGGGAGATGGGGATAAATCCGTGTATTATTGTCAGAGCTGTCACAGTTCAGAGCCCAGGTCAAGCAGGATTGAAAGGAACTTTTACACTCAATGCAGTTAATTCCTTCCAACAATAAGGATCTAATAAGAAGATTACAATAAAGACAGGGATTATAGGGGCCATCCTTAAATGATCCACCTACTTCCTTCACAAACTCATGGTAACTGATGTTTCTTCCACTGTTCTTTTGTGAAAAGGGAAGTTCATGGTTTTTTGCTGGGAAATGTAACAAATGAACACATTTAATTAAAAAAGGGGTGTATAGGCACTAAATCCTGCAATTTAAATACACAGGAAGAAAGTTAGCCAGGTCAAATCATAACTAAAAGAAAGACATTCTATAGGATCATGACGTGTTAGAAATTGTGACTGCTCAACTTCCCTATTGATAGTAAAGTGATTCCTTTAACCAGGATTTTATCTTCCTTTTGTTTGCTCACAAAACATAAGCTTTTGAACTTTGAACTCTGCTTCAGGAGATCTTAACAATGTTAAACACTAAATTTATTTTTAGTGGAGGGGAAAGAAACACTCTTCAAATAACTAAATCCAATGAAATGTGACCTTCTTACACTATTTAAGTTTGGCTGTGAATTCATAAAACTAACATACATCAAACAAACATGTGGATTAAGGAATAGGTTTTATTCTCCTGACTCCTGTTATTAAATTAGAGACTGAAGTATTATGAGACAAGCAACATTCTACAGTTCTATTGTATCGAGTTACAATTTCACATGTCCTTTCCAAAACTCAAACGTTATTTAATACTATACTCTGCAGGCAACCTATGAAACACAACGTAAGTGTGGCGACATCCACGTATCCATCTTGAAATAAAAGCTGCTCAGATTTAAATAGATCAAACCCGATTAATCATAAATGATCAAATTTTAATTAAAGCACAGTTTGGTTTTATGCTTGAGCATCAGCAGCACATATGATTTTCAAAATATTTAATTATGGAATTATTGCTCCACGATTCAGCTGAACGCAACTGAATTAATTGCTTTTGCTGCCTGAATACAAATGATTTGAAGGATGTAAACAGGTCCGATCAGAGCTTGCTGCAGGCTCCCATTAATATGTTATATACTAAACGGCACTTGTTTGTTCAGATTCAATCCACATTAATGACCAGTGCCCATTAAGCTCAGCCTGTTAAGGCATTAGTCAGGTCCCTTAAAGTTCACAGCACCGTGAATAGAGAGTAATAAAGATAGTTAATAAGAAAATGCAAAAAAAGGCAAACAGTGTAATACAATTTTATTTCATGAACGAGGAGCACCTATGAATAACAAAGTAACAAATGGTTTGTGAAAGATTTGCTGGCAAGCCTGACAAGAAGAAGCATTAAATTTGGTGAACATTCAAAGAAATCCTATGTGGAGCCTCAATAGGTGACACCTCAATAGTTGTAGAGTCTTGTAGCATATTGGTTAGAGCACTCTCCTCACACGCGAGAGGAGCCGGTTTCCATTCCCTGGCAGAGTGAAACCTTAAGTTTTCTTACTCCACACTCCACTGTTTATCTAGCAGTAAGTAGGAACCTGGGTGTTAGTCGATTGGCGGATCGCTTTCCGGGGGTGATAATCCCTTAAAAAAAAATAATTTGGTCACTCAATCCACAACGGTTTGTGGGACACTGCTATGTGCAATTGGATGCCGCGTTTTGCCAAAAAAATCTAATCGATTTAGTTTACAGTATATTCGGTGAAGGGCTTTGATACGTCTCAACGAAGTGATAAAGCACTATATCATAGCAAGGATTATTATTATTATTATAAACACATAAGATGGACAAATAGATGGCTGCCAGCACCCAAGAGTCCATAGGAAAGAGGTCACTTATATGCAAACGACTGTTCAACAGTTATTGAAGTCCCAAGTCATTTGGTCATAAAGGGATAGGCAGATTGCCAAGAATTATACAACAATGTTTGTGGCTGGTAAAATGGACTCCAATAGTCTTTCTGGATCCGAATATTCCTTTGTCTCTGTGTTTTTGAGCATGACAATAATTTAAACTTTGCCCGAGTTCAACTTTTTTGAAATGTAAAGCAAATATTGAAAAAATAGTGGGAGCAAATAGAGATAACACTTTTCAAAAGGCAATCCTTGGAATTCTGATCAGTTTTTCATGAACATGCATGGCACATCTATCCTTTATTCTCACACTGTTGTTAAGCTATGTGGAAAATAAACCTATGGACCTTGAATCCAATTAAGGTTATTAATCCAGTTAAACACAGTTATGCAACCAGTATAATAGTATCACAAGGCCCAAAACTGTGCACACAACAAAGAAAGACCAAGAAGAGGAAAATTAAGCAAAAATATAAGATTTTACAGTATTTACATATAAACTGGTTTTATAATGCAAACATTTGGGATTGTTGGTCAGGATACCGGGAGAAACTTCCTTCTCTGAGCAAATGGCTGAATACACGCACAGTGAACTAAAATGGCAAGTAAACACTGTGAATCATTCGATCGTGCTGCAATATAACTATAACATGCCCAATATGGAGTATGTGTCCTGTTCGCGATTAAATGTCTTTCATGCTCTTTTGCCTGTTAGCACAGGTATGACACTATATTTGTGGTATCCAACTCATGAATGCTGGAATGGTCAGCATGAAAGGAAAGATTTAATGAATCAATCAATCTGAGAATTTATCAAACAGCTCTGAACACCTTTGTTTTCAAATGAATTTGAAGGGATGCTATCATAAAAGTGTGTGAACAATCGGGGAAATAACTCAGAATACTGCTCAAAGTTCAGTTCAGCAGAGGAAAACACAACAGAAGAAATAAAGCAATGCAGTGAGTTAGACATATTGTCCTTTCAACTTCTGTGTCTTCAAATTCTTCAAATTTAGCAGAGGGTGACTTGATTAACAAAGTAAATCTCACTCTGATGGTCAGTAAGAAATTAATATGAAACCGCCTCCTTCCACTTCACTGACGTCACAAATACAGTAAACCCCTGGCTAACTGGACTCTGGATATCCGGAATTCGTACCTGGCAGGAACGGGCCTGAAACGGAATTTAAAAAAAAATGCTGCGGGTCTGCGTGTAGCCTCTCACTAGACCACTATCCTACTGCGAGTCACACCTCACCATGCTTGCTGGTCTTCAGTGACTGGGAATATCGACTTTGACTCAGTTTGAATCCCGTGAACAGAAGACAACTTATTTACTAAGTTCTGCTTGCGGAATTCAAACAATTACAATGATGATGTCGGTATTTACTGGCATTTTTTAGCCACTGAAAAAAGCCGGCGTTCAAGCCAATACTGGCATGTAATTATGCTTAGCCGGACTGGGCCTCATTCCCATTGGTCCGGCCAGCCGGGTTTTAGTGTGTGTGTTCTGGCATTCACTTGGAGCCTAAAATGCCACCTAACCTTACCCTGTATGTCTGCCCAGAATTGTAGAAAATTCTTAAATTCAATTGTAATTTGGCAGCTGGTTTTCCACAGATCTTAATCAGTTCTGAATTAAAACTGAACTGAAGAATTTTCCTTGATACAAAGAGTCGGGGAATATATCGCAGAGAAAAATTGTAGAACAGATAGTGTGGGAAACTGATACTTTAGGGATTGCCTATCCAGGGCAAGGTTGGAGTCCCCAAGGTTGTGGTCCTGTGTTGTGTTGCAGAGAGAGAATTCTAAACAGTATTTAATGTGTTCTATACTTAATATAAGATTGATTACTGGAGAAGGGAATATAGGGGTATGGGAGAGCAGTGTCTCACGTGAAGTAAAAACACTAGCATGAACTAGTTGGGCTGAATGGCCTGTTTCTGCATTGCAGCAGTCTACATCCATGATTAATTCTGAGTGCCTGTGATGGTTAAAAGAGAAGATGAGAATCTAATCCCTAGCAACCAGATATTTGATGAGCACGGTTGATAAAGAGAGAGATTGAACAGATTGAATGATGACCTGAAGGTTCTTAACCTCTTCACAAGCCCATTTAATTTACTGACAAGCTTCATTGGCGTTGTACGTTATGTCCCAAGATTACCGCGGTTTATTATTAAACTCGTTTTCAAAGCTAATTCCATTGAAGACTTTGTTGATCTGGATTGGTTTACCTGGTGTGAGTGCACTGTACTTGCTTTATTCAATACAGTGTGACTAGAATGAAATTGCACACGTTTCACATAAAAGTAAAATATGGTTCATAGGACCCTGAGGATGTATTTTAATCTGCAGACTTCTGATGTGTGAAAGAACACACAACAGTCTCAGTCTATACCCATGAACAGGCACTAGGAGCCAGACCAATATTAATAATCTTAGAAGTGCCACAAGCAGTGAAGCAGTGATAAGGAGTTGAATTATGGGCCAGTTTATTTAATTTGGCAGAAGGTTTTAATAAGTTGAAGGTAAGTAAAGGCCAAACTAATTAATGAGAAATAAACATGATATACTGTCCTGTTGACATTCATTAGAGTGGGCAAAGAATATATATTTTTTAAATAAAGAAACAAGTAAATGTGAATGAAGAGTGAATTCACAACACAGATATGTGCCCCAATTATAAAATTTGCTTTAAAACTATCAAAATGATCAAATAGGCACAACATACAAAAACTATTTGGGGTTTCAGAAACAGCAATAATTGGTGAAATATTCCCAAGTTTCATCCAACTACTTTAAGAGTTTCCACCTATATGTTTGACAGAGCTGAAAGGTAAGCATCCCATCTTGACATTTGCCCTGTTGGTCTTGTGAATAAAGGCACAATTAATTGCAGCTCTTTACATCAAGACCGAAAGGGCCCAGTTTGCAATCTTTGTCCCTGTAAAGTCAAGCATCAATGGAGCAGCCACAATTGACCTTGGTTACCTGCGTTTGGGAAGGGGAAGAAAATCAATTGGGGTTTTTGCTGATCGCTCTCCATCAACCGTTGCTGGAAAACATGTGTGTGTGTGTGAGGCTAAGATCAAGCTTGGCTGTGATATTCTCTGCGGTCAAACAGAAGGGAGTTTCTCTTGGGGACCTAGCCAAAATCTTCCAGATAAAATTGGTCATTCACTTCACGGCTGTTTGTGGGACATTGCTGACAAGTGACAAATTACTGAGATATCTCCAGGACCCTAATGTCCTGCATTATGATAATTATCACCAGTGATAACTATCACATCACACCTTGCATTTTAGACATCCATTGCATCCTAATGGTATCCAAACTCCCTTAACATGAATACATGAGGGAGAAAAGTATAGAGGGATATAGGACAGGGAATCAGGAGTGGTGGAGACTCGTGTGGAGTATTAACAATGGAACATGTGAGTTGAGGTGACTGGCTTGTTTTCTTTCTATGTAATTCTATGCATGTGCTAATGACACCACGAAACATGACAAAAGGCATTTCCCATTCAATCCCCAAAATATTCGTGCAGCTACTGCTGTGCTGTGTTATTCCTATAACGTTCGGAAAGCCTAAAGAAGGAATAAATGAATAAAAGTTTGGAATACATATTGATGTTAATAATAATGAAATAATTACCTATAGAACAATCGTGGCCTGTCCAGGTTAGGTCACAGCTGCAGGTCTTTGTATCTGGTAGAAACGTACCATGCCCTGAACACTGGCCTGTACAAGTAGTTCGTGCTGTCTCGCAGTTTGACCCACCCCAGCCAGTGCCACAGTGGCATTCTCCACGAACGCAAATCCCTCGCCCTGAGCACGTAGGGTCCAAGCAATCCACTGAAAAGAATGGAAGAGCAAGTGACCTTAGAACCTCAATTCAATCATAGTCAAACACGGTTAAGATCACATCAGATAGTGTCAAGAAGGTAGAAATGTTTCAATCTCAAAGAGAAATAAAATAATTCTGTCGTAATCTGCAGCAGAGCCCATACATTCTTGTTGAGAAGGAATTGAATAGATGTAGCCTCAGTACAAGGATTGGCAGAGAAACTGACCTGATCTTTGTGTAAAGAAGTGGCTAGAATCTGACTGGTGAGACGCAAGGAGGTAATTCTCTGATCATCGGTAAACATAGCAAGTGCATCCAATTCTATGCTGGATGTACAATTTACTGACCTTGTCATTGTTCACTTAAAGAAGGATTTCTCCAGCTTCAGATACCTATCTCACATACCCCTCAAACCTGTTTGCCATCGAAAAAGAATTCAATTCCTTCCCAAAACTGACCACCATTCACGGAGTCAATACCAGTAATTATGTGGATCAACAGAGATGTTTGTCTAATAAATTCACCAGTGATTATAGAATCACCCATGGAGGGAACATTTCTGCCATTGACTTTCAGGTGAAAATTCGGCCCGTTCATCAAATCAGTTTATCACTAATGCACAAATTAATTACTCACACTTATTAATTGAAATTTAGTAGTTTAAGAAGAAAATCAGCAGCTGTTTGATATTTCAATTTGTGTATTGTGGTAATATGGTTTTAAGATCAGTAGCAGCTGGGAAGGTGGAATATCAGGGCACTTCTATTATGATCACACATCTATTACCATCACTGCATCATTCCCCCAAGCAAGGGATGTTAATAGGGTTTGACGTTAGCACATTTAACCTATCTCATTGGAATAAACAAATTGGCTAATCATTTATTCATATCTTAACCTTTACCTCTCGGGGACACTTAGCATTTATTTAAAACCAGCTTTTAATGCCAACAGTTTTTCTATAATAAGAAAACAATACAGACTCCAATGGCATTGAAAATGCACTGTTGGCAAACTGTAAAACTGAATCCCGCCTGCCTGATCAAGAAGATGATTACGAACCTATGGCATTATTTGAAAAGAGAAGGGAATTTGGGCTGGTGTTCTGGCCAACAAGCACCAGATAAAAAATTACCATTCACTTCATGGCTATTTGTGGACCTTTCTGTGTGCAAATTGACTGTTGTGTTTATCTACAAATATACAATTACTGCAATTTATAGTAAAATCTTTTGAGACGTGATAAAATTCTATATCTGCGGAGTCCTGTAGCTCAGTGGTTAGAGCACTCGCTTTGCAAGCGAGAGACCTGAGTTCAATTCCAGGCAGCGCGAAACCTTGGGCAAGTTTCCTTACTCCACACGCCTAATAATAATCCTCCAAAAAACAAAAACAATAATAAATTGGTCATTTTCAATCCACGACTGTTTGTGGGACATTGCTGTGCGCAATTGGCTGCCACGTTCGCCCACAAATATACAGTCAATTCACTTTACAATATATTCTGTGAAGCGTTTTGGGACGTCTAGATGACATGAAAAGCGCTATATCAAATGCAAGGATTATTATTATTATTATATCAAATGCAATGATTATTATTATCATTATTAAGTTGCCTCCTTGTGACTTCTGGTCTGTGACTGAAATTGCACACTTCGCTGCCAGTGTCACAGCAAACTCACTGAACCAATGTGGATCCGAAAGGCTAGCAAAGGTCAATTTACGATTTCTGATCTTTTCTCAGCCAAGAAAATAGCCTGGAATTGAAATGTTGGCCACTATCAAGAGTTCCATTTTGTGATCACACCCAGCATTTTCAACACCAAGATGTGGAATATGCATAATGGATTTGATTTCAAGAATGCTCTACTAATATGTTCTCAATGAAGAGCTCATACTCTAAATAATAGGCAAATATGAGAGATTGAAGGTGCCTATGATCCCTTCATGCTCATTATGTGAATCATGTGGTTATTAGGGACATACACACAAGCATTCCCCCACTGTCCCTAAAGCGAAATCATTCTACTTCGAACTATAAGGATTATTCTGCTCTTTACACTGATGTGAGCCGAGTGCTGTTCTGCTCACTTTGCTAAGTTCACCAAATTTGTCATCGTCAATCATTGTGATACAATTTATATATATAATTTAGTTTTAGAATTATAGTATTTGTAGTATAATATTACATTACGGTTATTTACAAGGGTACGGAAACATATCTGGCGAAGAATACAGAACAGTGCAGAGCCAACATCAACAAATTTGCTGTCTGGAGTGCAATAGCAGAACAACCTCCCATGTTATCAATTCTGGAACTGGCTAGTCATCTGTAATAGCTGCAACTTGTTGACCTTAAAATTTTTTTAGAAAGGCAAACCTCAAAACCCTATACAGGCGACAGGGGATACCACAAAATGTGCCAGTAGAGGAGGCGTAATTGAAGAGATACATTTTTATATCTTACAAGAGGTATTAAGCACAAATGATCTTAGAAATTCAAGGGGTAAAGGATCATTTGGCTGCCACTGTTAAATATCTGCTTGCTCCCTGTAGCACCATAAACCTGGAGTATTAAAATAGTGCAGTGATCCACAAATGATTTTGTGAAGTCTCAGCAGCTTTGAAAACAAGTCTTTTTTTGTGCTTTCTGACTTGTTCCTTGAAGGGCCCCCTATTTGCACAAGGATTTGATTAAGTTAATAGAATCCAGGGAAGAGAAGGGAACCTGATTTTAAATGACTTAAAATCTTGGTTAAACGTATTGAATTTGTTGGTATATAATTAATCTTACCAATCATACTTCCATTGCAGGTCATGTATAAGATTTTGTACATCAACAGCAATTTATGGTTAGACTGCGCCTTTCACATCAGGAGAACATTTCAAAGTGATTTACAAAAGGCTGAGTGGGAGCCCGAGCTGGCAGAGAACTAGGGGCTTATGGGGGGACGGGGGGGACGGGATGGGGGGGACGGGGGGTGCTGAGGGAAGTGGCCAAAAGCAGAAAAAAAAGGAAAGAGGTAGATCTACACGCAAGAATTTAAAAGTGGAGAAGGAAGGAGTGAGGTAGTGGGATTTTGGGAGAGTATCAGAGAGTGGGGGCAAAGTGGCTGAAGGCTTGTCCCGTGATGATGGGGCAGAGCAGAGTGGAGCAGGTTTTGAACACAAAGCAGGACAGAGTTGGCAGAGCAGAGGAAGTGGCTGTGGGTGTGGGGTATTACTATAATATTTTTATTTCGATACAGTAACAAAATACACTAACATTCTATTATAGAAAAAGACAGGCATATTCTTGGAAATCAGAATTAAAAATAAAACACCTCTGGGCATTGGCTCTTTAGCGACATGAGTCTCAAGATTGATGAAGAAAGCAGAGGCAGAAAGTCTCCTCTTGAGAACCAAGCTGACAAATTCTGCTGCTGAAATGTTCTTGAAATTGATTGTCTTTTTTGGAATGGCCAAATACCTCTACTCAGGGCCAGAGCTGAAATATTCTCTTACCAACACTTCGGAAAAAATACATTTCAAAGATTATGCAGCAGAGAGAACTTCTGAAATAGTGCTGTTGAGAAGCTTGCATTTTTTGATTCACGATTTGACAGTTCATTGTGTTCTACACTAATAAGTAATTCCTCTTGGAACCAGGAGCTTACAATAGAAATCACCTTTATCTGAGATCAAAAGTGTCAACATTTGTTCTACGAATACTGAAGTCTCCAGTTTTTCATATTAAAAATAATCTCATTGCACTTAATTAACATTTCGAATAAATTAAAAGTATTAATATACAATCTTCTTAACGTTTATTTTTCCAAGACGATAATTCAGTTTGTACTGTTATTATTAAATGAAAGGCCACTCATTTCATGGTGGATTGCAACCATTTGCTTTTCCTCCCAATAAATACTGTAAAAGATAATAATAATCCTCGAGTTTTATATCCTTATCATGTCGATAAAACCTCTCAAAGCGCTTCACAGGAATTTTACGGCAAAGTGAGGTGGCTGAGTATTTGTAGGTGACTGCGACAGCCAATTTGTGCACAGATAGCCCACAAACTGCCACATGGTGAAGAAACAATTTTATTTGGGCGATTATTGGCCAGGAAACTGAGAGAAATTCCCTTCTATTTTCGAATAGTGTCATGGAACCTTTAATGTCCACCTGAAGAGGCAGAAAGGACTTCGGTTTAACATTTCATCTGAAGGACAGCACCTCCAACAATACAGCACTCCCCCAGAATTTCATTGGAGTATCAACCCAGATTATTATACAAACTCACAATCCTGATTTGGGCTACTAACTGAGCCAGGCTAACTACCAGCACGAAATAACTAGAAATCTTGCATGGGGTTAGAACTAAAGAAATAGCAGCTGGTTGGTATAACACCGAGACACCGCAGAAGTCGTTACTTTTTAAGAACAGAAGGAAAACAGCTTCCAAATTAACAATGCACTTAAATATTTACCACTAATTCTGCCTGATCTTAAATGTTGAGGCAAAATGGTTTTACAGACTAGATGGAATTTGGGGACTACCTTCTGTCACACACATCTGAAACTAACTACAATTCATTAGCTTGAACTCAGAATATTGTTACATGGTAATCTCTTTGCAGCTTCTCCATACTGAATTCTAGATTGCTGAAACCAATTTAAATGTTCCCTTCCTCCTGGGTGGAACCACCACCCATTGTTGCCAATTTTGTCTCTGGCTGTCAACAAAGGAACCAACGACTGCATGGCAGAAGGATCAATCAGGATGTATTTGCATTTTTATTCCTTTTTCCACTTTCTTCCTCTGCTGAAGGCACTAACGCATGCCCAAGGATGCTGGCAACATGAGGTACAAGTGCTGTTCTTCATTTGTGAGCCGAGACAGAAAGCATCAGCAGGCTATTTGAGTTTGGAAGACAGGGATTGTCAATTAAATCCAATCCTGCGCAATCCAGCAGAGATACGTAAATAGTGACCAGGGGCAAAAGCCCTGCTTATATAATTATTA